TGAAATGGCATACACAATGCACGATGGACTTACACCAACACAAGTGGACCTCAGCCACACTCACATAGGAGGCCATTAGATGAAAATGAGACACTCGAAATGCGCGCACACATGCACGCGAACCGAGGACCAAACCTAAGGCACAAATGCCACTCTAACAAGGCGTGGCAAAGCATGGAACATGACATACAAGCATGCAAATTTCCAGCACTAAAATATGATGATAAATAGCTCCGAAACATGGCAATATGGCACTCGATGCATGGAATGGTCCCGAAACATGAAATTAGGTGCATGGAATGACCTATGGCTATGCAAAGCATGCATTATTTGAACATGAAGTGCGAAGACAGAATCAAAACAGTCCCAAAACAAGCATATTTACAGTTTTAAGCAAGGCCAAACAGTGAACACAAATAGGACTAAGCTAGCATGCAAAAATGGCCCCGAAAGAGAGATAATGAAGCAAGTAGAAGCTGCTGGCCCTAAATGGACAAGAGCCTTAAAACAAAGTTGAAGAGAGGCTCAAAATTAATCACTTTACAGTTTACAACAAGCCACGAAAACAAACACAAGTATGGCTAAACTATTATGCAAGAAATGGGCCAAAAGGGAGACAAAGAAGCAAGTGATGGTTTCTGGCCTCAAACAGAGGAGGGCCCTTCAACAAAGTTGAAGAGGGACCCAAAACATGGTATTTTACAGTTAGTGACCAAACCCAAAACAGTGCGCATACAAGCTTAAAATACTATGCAAAATAAGGCATAAAAGAGAGCTATAACACGAAGAGCAAAAAGGAAGCCTCAAACAGAAAAATACCCTTGATCAAACATGAAGAGGGGGTCAAAATAAGGCTATTTAAAGTTTGGACCAGAGCCAAGAAATACAAGCACAAGGAGCTAACAAAACATGCAAAAATAAGGCCAAAAGAGAGATAAAGAGGCAAGTGACAGATGGAAGCCTCAAAAAGTGAAGAGCCCTTCAACAAAGTTGAATAAGGGCTCAAAACAAGCCACTTTACAGTTTGTCTCGGAGCTTAGAAATGCTTAAAAATAGGGCTAACATATCATGCAAGAATAGGCCCTAAAAGAGAGGTAAAGAACAAAGGGGGAGAAGAAGACTTCAAACAGCAAAAAGTTCTGAATCAAACATGAATATGACCTCAAAATATGATATTTTTCAGTTTTTCTTGAAGTCCAAAAATACTTGCAAGTAAAGCTAAACAATCATGCAAAAAAGTGCAAGTTTAAGGGAAATAGGGACTCACCCTTGAAGAACAACTTTCCAGCAGCTTTTAGTCCAAAAATCTGAGCTTTCAACCTCTTCAAATGTCCTCCAAGGTACTGAAATGAGTAATGGAGGTGATAGGCTAGGGGTTGTAGTGCAAATGGTGCAAGAAAATGGATGTTTGAACTTGAAAATGGAGAGTTATGGAGGAGGAGGAGGAGGAGGAGGAGGGTTATAAGCATAAGCCAAAAGTGTCTAACCCTTAAAAATGGAGCTCAAGGGTGTATTATATAGAGGGACTCATCTTTGAAACCCAAAAAAAAGGGGGGAAAAAGAGGGGAAAAAAAAAAACCAATTTAAATGGAGCAAAACAAGGGGGGAAATTTCAGAAGTGGCGTTTTGACCACGAAGTTGGTCTCTCGGGCCACAGTGTTCCTCAAAAGGGAGGAAATAAGGTGTGTGCCAAAAATCAGAGCAAACGGAGGTAGTTAAGCGGTCCCGAACCGAGACACACGGCCGACGGCTCCAAAAATCGAAAACCGGGCTCTAAACGGGTAAAATGGCCTATGACCACGAAGTTGGTCTCCCAGGCCACAATGTTCCTCAAAAGGGAGAAAACAAGGTGTGCGCCAAAAATCAGAGCAAACGGAGGTGGTTAAGCGGTCCCGAACCGAGGCACACGGCCGTCGGCTCCGAAAAAACTGAAAATCGGGCTCCAAACGGAAAAAATGGCCTACGACCACGAAACGTAGCCTACGGCCACTGAGAGATGATCTATGAGACCTCTCCATCCCTTCGGGAAGATAAAACAGAGAAAACAGAGCCTGGTTCGCAAACCGAGGCAAAAC